AATGAACATGCAGGAGCTTCGGTGGCGCAATTCTCAGAACAAGCGCCTTTCACCTCTGACATTGTGAGTTCTCGCTCATGCGGACTCTTATGTGAAAAAGTGTCGATTAACGCACTACCCCAAATCGAGGGTTGCCCCTGGATATGACCCTGTTTAGTAAGGATGATTATAACACCCTCACTTGCGTGCTTGCTTACTAGATTGCTCAACTACTGAGTATTGGATTCAATAATTTGCATCATATTCTTTCGCGTTACATTTGACGGTTGATTTTGACAACTTAATTCATAGAGCTGCATGCAATCATTTTTGGTAACTTGTTTAGACGTGAGAAATGTCGAAGGATCAATATTATATAATTTGAATTCAATGTTCACTTACGATGTTAAGACAGTATATTTACCGAGAGAGTCATATTTATGAAATTTAACTTATACAAGCAACACTGAATATATTACAGCTAATCGCAAATATTACAAAAGCCATTATACCACATCTTTCGTGCTTTAACTGATTGTTGGTGTTTTGTTTTATTAGATATTAATGAATGTTTGACCAACCCATGTGGAAATAACGCTGCGTGTTTCAACACACCTGGTAGCTTCCGATGTCAATGTGCTCCGGGCTACACAGCCAGACCTTCCGGATGTATTGGTAAGAAAACAACTTTTTGGATGCTTATGTAACGATATGACAGAAACAGTATAGCTGAAGTTCACCAAGCACTATCAGATAGTGCTCAATACTAGATTCCCCTTATTACGTTTTCGTAGCGCTTTGCATTGTGGTTATGGTGGTATCACTGATATTCAAGATGGCTTATTTTTTATCCTGACCCGTGCAAGAACTTTTAAAAAAAGCTAGGGTCAGGGCGCGATAGCCAACAGAAAAATATTCGCGAAAACATTCAATATTTTCATTCGAGGCCGCTATCTTTATCAGTGATACCACTATAACGACAATGTAAAGCGCTACGAAAACGTAATAAGGGGAATCATCAGTTGACAGTTTTAGAACGATAAAATACTTAATTGACAGTTATTAGAACGTTTCTTTTTGTAATTTTAAAAAATATTTCAACACATCATTGTTTTTTCTAGTGCATGCATGTCAAAACTATCTGAAATTGACATGCTGGCCCATACCGCATACTAAAACAAACCAATACTGTAGTTATTAAGCAATGACATCAATTTTGAAGACAAAGATGGGCAATTATAAATTAACATAATCAGGGCCGTACATTGCGTAATCCCCCCCGAGAAAACTATATTTATGATTTTTAGAATGACATTGCTTATTCTTTGGGTTTTTGGGACTTTTTTCGGCATATAGGCCTTACTGCCCCCCCCCCTGGTGAAAAAATCCTGCGTACGGCCCTGAGCATAATGAAAATTACAGTTCATATTTATACGTCTACTGTTTCTATCCAAGAAAATTCGATCAAATTGTTCGGAATATAGACAAATATTTAGCTCCTTCAGCTAGTCTTACCCCAAGGCCGAATCATGCTCTTGTACCCGAGTTATAATATGAGCATGGGGACAATCAGTGTACGACAGACTAAGAATTGTTTTTTCTTTGTTTATTACTAGGGTTGGGCGATATTAAAAAAATCATCTCACGATTGTCGTGGAAATTAACACCATATTCGATAATATCGCGATAAATGCAATAAAAACAATGACCACATTTTTCAATTTTAATTAATATCAAAGCATATCAAAGCATAGTATGCCGTGGGCACACAGCGCAAGCAAAGCCTGCAATTTCATTGTTCAGTGGCTTACTAACTTACCAAGGCTTACTAACTTACCAATGATTACTAACTTACCAATGATTACTAGATTACCAAGGATTACTAGATTATCAACTGTAGGATTAATTACTAGTTTACTCCAAGGAGTACTAGATTACCAAGGCTTAGGCCCGGTTTAGACGGCGAACTTTTCATGCGCCGAATCTAATGTAATGTTTAAGTGCGACGCTGGAGCGGCGTCTAAATCAATTAAGTTCGGCAGATTTTGATTAAGTTCGACACGACTCGAAGATGCGACAAGACAAGTCGTATATGCGACACAGGTTCGACATTGATTTAGACGCCGTGCTTTTCATGCGCCGAACCTAATGCATAATTATTTTTTAACATCATAACATGATTTATCATATATTTGCATTGTAAATATGTCCAATATAGTGTCCTCGCAATTTGGTACGGCACAATTAAGTTCGACGTCTAAATCAGTTTCCAATATTTTGCCGTATCTACGACAATTAGATTCGGCGCATGAAAAGTTCGGCGTCTAAACCGGGCCTTAATAACTTACCAATGATTAATAGTTTACCAAGGATTACTAACTTACCAAGGCTTTTATAACTAACTTACCAAGGATTGACTAGATTATCAAGGATTAATTACTAGTTTACCAAGGAGTACTAGATTACCAGTATAAGTATAGGCTAGATTACGATGTATAAAAGTTAGAATGGTATATTGATGACCGTAACACCAAGGCTTAACCAATATATCGTATTAAATTTGTATTTAATTCAGGAAATAGTTCTAATTCTTTTAAAAACTATATTTTCTAGGAATTGAAGGAATTTTTTAGGATTTTTATTAAAGCTATGTACACATGCGAAGCAATATCACGATAGTTTTCTTATAGTTTCTTATCTTTATTAACGATTTACCCAGTTACGTTGGAAGTTCTAAGCCTTTTTTATTTGCCGATGACTCTACACTAATATCCTCAGGATCGGACCTTCACGAACTTAGTGTCTCTCTAAAGTCAGATATGACCTCAGTGTCCCGTTGGACTAACCATAACAAAATGTCTCTTAATCCTGGCAAGACAAAAATAATGAAAATATATTCCCAATCATTCCCTGATCTTAGTCCAATAACCATTGAAGTCAATAACAATAATGTTAAGGAGATTACATCCGCCATTTTACTTGGAGTTACATTAGACCAACATCTGAAATGGGATAGGCAAATTAATACCATCTACAATATAATCAATTCTAGACTTTACCTGCTCAAACGTATACGTAGCTATCTCACTTTTCAATCCCGTATTCAATTATATTACGCACAACAACAATATCGCCCAACCCTATTTATTACTAATCCGCGCATATTTTGGTCGTATTTCAGATATCAACGAATGCGATCTAAATCCATGTGATTCCAATGCTCAGTGTACGAATACTGAAGGCTCATTCGTCTGTACTTGTAACACTGGATACTCAGGAACCGGGCTTGTCTGCGCAGGTATTTGAATTTATTAAGACTGACGGGTTTCGATATACGTATGACTAACGTCACAATATCCATCCTATATACCCCCACTCACAATAATGGTGCCGGAAAATAAGAGTATTTTACAACGGAATCATTTTCCTTAGTGACGTCAAAAAGTAGCGACACAAGCTACATCTTGTTTTGTTGTTAAGTAATATTTCAAACCCGACTATGAGGACTGGACTAGATTTCAAGTCCGCACAATTTAATCGAAGTCCGAATTGGAGGATTTGAAATGACATCTCATACGAATAAATCACTACTTAAAGTGAGGTGAATTAATTACATAATCACATAAATCACTACTTAAAGTGAGGTGAATTAATTTGAGGATTTGAAATGACATCTCATACGAATAAATCACTACTTAAAGTGAGGTGAATTAATTACATAATCACATAAATCACTACTTAAAGTGAGGTGAATTAATTTGAGGATTTGAAATGACATCTCATACGAATAAATCACTACTTAAAGTGAGGTGAATTAATTGGAGGATTTGAAATGACATCTCATACGAATAAATCACTACTTAAAGTGAGGTGAATTAATTTGAGGATTTGAAATGACATCTCATACGAATAAATCACTACTTAAAGTGAGGTGAATTAATTACATAATCACATAAATCACTACTTAAAGTGAGGTGAATTAATTTGAGGATTTGAAATGACATCTCATACGAATAAATCACTACTTAAAGTGAGGTGAATTAATTACATAATCACATAAATCACTACTTAAAGTGAGGTGAATTAATTGGAGGATTTGAAATGACATCTCATACGAATAAATCACTACTTAAAGTGAGGTGAATTAATTACATAATCACATAAATCACTACTTAAAGTGAGGTGAATTAATTTCGATCCAGTCCAAGGACTGAATTAATTTCAATGCAATATTGTTGATCTAACAGCGTTACACGATGTTGTTGGATAAAAGTTTTGAACGAAGTCAAACGTAGAAAATTCAAAACTTTGTAACGAAATGCTGTTGTGTTTTTAGACATTAATGAATGTCTCAATAGCCCGTGTCACACTAACGGATTATGCACAAACATACCTGGATCATTCCAGTGTTCTTGTCAGGTCGGATTTACTGGAGATGGTTTCTTCTGTGGAGGTAGGTTGATATGATATCCTCCTTACTCTCTATAACATTCTTGCACAAAGGTTTCTCCATTACTGTAATGATAGCTGTGTAGCAGACTCGTAGGCCTACAAGGAGTTATATTGCTCGCGTTACTGCTCGCCATCATTATCAAATACCCGTTTGGATATAGAACTGTTACAGCCCTTTTTGTCTGTGGAAACACCATGTAAATTTATTACAGCAAAGCTTTCGATCCGTAAGCCTGCATCTTCATCAGTGCTAATTGTTAAATTTACGTGGTGTTTCCACAGACAAAAAAGTATTATATGTTTTATCGCCATGTAATCGTACAAAGAACTTGTTACAGCCCTGTAGCAGATTTGTTACATTGTCTATCCATCAATGTGATATCAGGATATGTTATACTGCCTCCTCCAACTTTTCGACAAGTTCTCAGGATTCATCTAACTGTCAGTGATGTTCATATATTTACATATTACCATTTATATATTTTACATGGTGTATTTTACATGGAATATTTTCTATGTATTGCAAACATTGAAAGGTGTTTAAAAGTATTCAACTACTTGCATGATGGAATAAGATTATTTTGCTACCTTTTATTGGCAAGCTTCTTATATTTTATCTACTCTTCTTGTTGAGAGTGTGCACATAAGAGTTTTCATATATTTTATTACAAACTGAAAACCTTTCCCGTAAGCGGATTATATTCAGATGTGGACAGGAATGCAAGTATAATAGTGTAGTGTTATAGAGCAATAGAATTAAAGATGATTGTTCAATTAACAATGATTGTTCAATTAACAATGATGCATAATTATTAGTATTGTAGGTGAAATGAAACACACTGTTTGTATTTTTGTTCAGATATTAACGAATGCTTAACAAATCCATGTCATTCTGCGGCGACTTGTACGAACACTGAAGGATCTTACACATGTGCCTGTAATACAGGTTATACAGGAGATGGATTACTTTGTAGAGGTATGATAATTGTCTATTTTATTGTTTCAATGTTGACTGAATGTCAGCTCACCTGGTCATTGATAGAGAATCTGTACTGCACTTTCTTTAAGATTCAAGCCATGTGTTGTTGAATATTGCAAACGTCTGATAATTATATCAAATAGGAATTAAAGCGCGTATAAAGTGTATAGTTGTCATTTACATGCACGTTGTTCATACAGTAGATATACCCAACAATTACTTCAAAACAGAACCTATTGTAAACACAACTTTTCTGGCTCATATACATGCAACCATCATTCTTGGCCCCATACCGCATGTAAGCAGAGAATTCGGATTATAATTAACAGAAAATAATGGTGGAATTTAAAATATTATAATTATTTTCCAGACATCAATGAATGTGCTAGCAGACCATGTGATGCACGTTATGGAGTATGTAACAATATACCTGGATCGTTTACATGCGCATGTATTACAGGATTCTTTGGTGATGGATTTACTTGCACAGGTAAGGAGTTATTTTATAGTTTGCACAGTTTCCATTGTATACATGAATAGTGTGATGAAACGTCATAGATAGACCACGAGTTATCCACCTGTTTGGAATTTGCAATCACAAACACAAGTCGAGGATTGTTTCGAGTTATGACATTCATGACAATGTTCATGTTTATCGACTATTTTGAAGATATAAGCTGTTTTAGCTAGAAAATTGAACGAAAAGCCTGTACTAATGAAGACGAAATCTGTTTCAGATTTACAGACATTAGTTATAAATATTAATTTATTTTTAATATTCCTGCCGAATGAGTTTGATAAAGTAAATGCTGTATAGTGTTTTCTTAAAACTTTGATTAAATATAACTTTTTCTGCAGACATCAACGAGTGCACTGCTAATAGGCCGTGTCATGAACGTGCTACTTGTAATAACACTGTTGGATCTTACTTCTGTACCTGTTTACCTGGATGGAGAGGCGATGGTGTGAATTGTGTTGGTGAGTAAGAATTAACTTCTTTATACAAACTGGTATGTTGGGCTGTCGGTATCATAGCGGTACCTGCATGAGCCTGTAGGGTTCGTCCCTGCAAGAAACAGTTGTATGTTTAAAAATTCCTCCTTAATTGTAAGTTTGAAGAGTGGGTATTAGTTTGATTCTACCAAACATCGCATATTTTCTCCTGGCACTCTTGATTCTGCTATTAACTGTCTTCGAAGGGTTGGTCCTCTCGTGCCTGGGGATAGCAAGCCATTTTAAATAAAGTTACAGTTAAGTAGGTTAAAGCTGACCAATATTTGTAATGATTTACATTTGGTTATGGTCCAAATTTGTTTTTTTTCTTAGACGTAAATGAATGCCTCGCGGGACCATGTCACGTAAGAGGAAATTGTACCAACACTCCAGGATCTTACTACTGTAGCTGCGACGAAGGTTATATCTTGCGAAATGGAGACGAGTGTATTGGTATGACTTATGTTGTTAGCTTCTTGTCAGTAAAGTTGGGAAGAGCGCCATATAATTATATAAACAATATCAACAATAAATTATTAGAAATTATAATCAGCAGCAAAATAAGGGAGTAACCTTGGCAATTAACCAATATCGTTCTTGTTCTCCACATAATCTATTAACAGAAGCTTGATAAACAGAATTTTTTGTTTCAAAAAGAGTTACTCTGAACCTTAAACGAGGGTTTTCGTTTAGTCATTGTTGTTGTTCTTTGTTATTGTTGTTGATTAATAATAATAAAACCACTTTATTTACCGAGGGTAACACATAACAGTTCACATTGAAAAACCTGTGGCCCTCCAACTCCTTAAAAATACTAGAATATAAGTACAACTATATTATATGTATGTAAGGTTTGAAAAGGTTAAAAATGTAGAAATTTACCAGTGTTTGAGAAATATGCAAGTAAACGTTTCCAGGAATAAGAGGAATCTGATAAAGGTTTGCTTAAGCTATTTTTGAAGGCTACTATAGTCTCCTTCTTAAGTATGTCAATCGGAATACTGTTCCACAACTTTGTGCTGCTAATGTGAAAGATTCGCCCAACTTCTGTTAACCGTACTCACCATGCCTGGTTTTCTGGTATGTAATGCAGAGTTATTAACTATAGGAGCTGGTTAGGAGCATCTCCTGTAATACATTTATGTGCTGCATATAGGCTATATTCTTCTATTATACTGTTTATTTTAGATGTTGATGAATGCTTGACAAATCCTTGCAATATAAACGCGGAATGTAGCAATGTACCAGGATCATTTGCTTGTATTTGCCGCCCTGGATACTCAGGAAATGGATTCGATGATTGTTCCGGTAATATTGTCGAATGTTTAGTTCAAATGATCATATCTCCGCTTTACTGATAAAATTTTCTCCTTCCTCTCTACCGTTTTCGGGAGATATTTAAGACGATTGTTAGTCATATGAATTTCTTTATGACACGATATTTCACAGTGAAGAGTGGCCATTTAAAATGGTTTATACATGCATACAAATCTTGAACCTGTGAGATCTATCGTATTGGCCGAGGTGTGAACATGGACTGCACTTGAGAATTGCGCGCATTGTAGTTGTCTATCAATCATAGCTTGTCTCGCGCACAATCAATCGTGATTCTTTCTCTTAACAGTTATATAATTCAATTTTGTTCAGATATCAACGAATGTTTGGTATCAAGTACATGTCACAAAAATGCAGATTGTACAAATACCATTGGAAGTTATGAGTGCCGTTGCAAACCAGGTTTTACCGGAAATGGTCTCAGTTGTGTTGGTAAGGAATTAAATAGTAGACATTAACTTTTCGTTGATCAAGATGGGCTAGATGCGCCGTATTAGGCAAATTTTGCACAAAATTAATAATACACTGGTCATTGGGAAATTGCAGTGTACTTACCAAAAACAATCCACAAGACCCAGACTTTCACCAGTTGAGAGAGGCAAGGTGTAGCAATATAAATGTGATGTCCTAGCGAAGTTATGCAATGGAACACCTCATAAACTGAAATTTTGTAAACCGCCACTGCCTGTTAACGGACTTTTATCTCATCCACAAATATATTTAGCAAGCTTTCCTTCATCTTCTCTGAAATGTCTACTACTCCATATCTTATCTTTTCATTCCTTAGTGTCTCTGTCCAGCTCTTCTTCATCTCTTATGACGTATTGATGCCATCTCAGCTTTGGTTCTCTCACTTTCTCTGAAATATCTACCGCCCCACATCTTCTTTTCATCTCATTTTGTCCTGCAGTGAAACCCATGGCATCCGTTTCAACAATATATGATATGCTCATAATGTTTTTTTTAAATATGTTTTATGAAATAGTATAGTTAACGTCTTTCACTGTTTATTTTTCCTAGATATTAACGAATGTTTAACAGTAAGCTGCCACGTGAATGCCGATTGTAACAATTATCCTGGCTCATTCGCATGTGTTTGTAAACCAGGATATAGTGGTGATGGTCTAACATGTGTCAGTAAGTGAAATCATTTCCCCATGATCTTGAATAATATTGCCATCAGATTTAATGAACAGTTGTAATGAAAATGTGAAGTCACATCTTCATACAAAAACATATCATGAAAAAGGTCAATAAGTAAAAATAATTGCTAGTACTACATTAATAGAGCTATAATATTACATAATTTTCTCCTGTATTAGTGAAATAGTAGAGTAATGGACGGCTGTATTTGTGTTTTTAAGATGTCAATGAATGTCTAACAAACCCTTGTCATTCACTGGCTGTTTGCTTGGATACTGAAGGATCGTTTGAATGTAGATGCAGAACTGGCTACACAGGCGATGGATTCAGTTGTGCAGGTACGCAGCTGATTCAACTTCCATATCAACTGCAACAAATTTAATGCACCTTGCGATTCACTACCCTCAAAGTAATTCCTAATCCTTGCAAGTCCTACTCGTTATTCTCCAACTGATCAATCCTTACTCTTATCTTAACCATAATTCCTAAACTAATCCCTTTTCATTGCTTAGAGTCTTACCTCACCCAAATGTATAGCAACAGTTTCGTTGTACACATCACAACTTCTTCAGAGCATTTAAATCTATTTACAAAAGGATGCTATATATACGTACAAATTGCTAAAACGGTTACAAAATTCATATAAGCGAGTAAGCAGAGAGAGGAAAAAACACCCGTCAGTTGTTAGTAATAAGTTAATTACCTATTACATTGATTATATTTTTATTAGGTTATATTTATAAATATTGATCACAGATATTAGTACTATCCCTCTGTTTTTGTTAGTTAAAACTTAATATGAAGATATTTCAGCATTATGCCTTGTTTAACAATCCATTAACTTTTTTTTAAATTTACAAATAGTTTAATTCAGTATTTTGTCGAAGAAATACTTTCAAGCTCTATTGTAAATTATTTAATTCTTTTCCCTAGGAACACCGCTTGCATTATTACGTCTGCCAATAATTTTAACAGCTGTTGCTACCTTTCTTCTCCAGATATTAATGAATGTCTTTCACGTCCTTGCCATGTTAACGGAATTTGTTCCAACAGTCCAGGATCGTACACGTGTACGTGTCAACAAGGATATGATGGAGATGGTCAAGTCAGATGTGATGGTATGTATTCTGTATTTCTGTGTTATCTTGAAGGACACACAAGAGTCACTTCCAGCCGCTAGTCCGCTACCCACTGTCGGAGTAATGCTTTTGAGTGGAAACAAAGTGTTCTACAGTTATAGCTAACCCGCGATGTTTATTAAAACGAAATATACAACAGCTGGTTAATCGTCTTGTGGGACTTATTACTATAAATATATATACAGGTGTACAGCTATTTCAATTAAGGTTGTCCCCCGAGCAAAGCGGAAAAGTCGAATACGAGCGCGAAAGGCTGCTGGGAATCGCTAATAAATTCATTCATTTATTAGCGATTCCCAGCAGCATTTCGCGCTCGTATTCGACTTTTCCGCTTTGCTCAGGAGACAACCTTAATTGAAATAGCTGTATATATTGATTCCGTGAATACGAAATCTCATTATTTTATATACTGATGCAACGAATTGCTAACATCTCATAGTATGGTAATTATATTAATTATAGAATCTTAACTATTTTTTATTGCTTTATTCCTTTAGATATGAACGAATGCCTGCGAAATCCTTGTCATGTGAATGCAACTTGCACGAACTTCCCAGGTTCATTCACATGCAGATGTAACGCTTTCTTCACTGGCGATGGTTTCAATTGCCAAGGTGGGTAGAGAAATTTTGATGTAGAGAAACTTTTGATGTGCAAAACCTGTTCCATGCAAGTATTGATGGAACGATCAATATAAACCGTATATATACTAAAGTAGAAAACGTAACGACTTCAACCTCAATATTCGAGGAAAACAAGAAGAGACGAGATTTAATAAAAATATTTCGTATTTGTTATTATACAAATCAAACAATGAATTTGTTATACAATATAATATTATTGTTGAATTAGTCATTTCTGATTTTTCTTTGAGATATTTTTTTATTTTATGTTGTATAGATATGTAATTTTCAATAATTGAGTTGAGATCCATGAGACTGGATTAAAGATATTTACGAAAAGGTTTTACAGCAATTTTCAGCAAGACTAGCTGTAAAAAAGGAGAATTTCAACTAATTATGCATGTTCAAATTATTATTATTATTAACAATTATTAATAAAAATTATTATTATTACTATGATGATCTCCTTGTTTTTTAGATATTAATGATTGTTTGACATTCCCATGCCACATTCGAGCGAACTGTGTCAATTATGTTGGTGGCTTCGATTGTGTATGTAAGACTGGTTATACTGGACCAGGTGTCTGGTGTAGAGGTATGTTATTATTATCTTATGAAATTCCTGGATCCTGAAGAATATTTGCATTCACAATTTGATTTTGGACAATTTTGTCATACTTCTGTTAACATTTTAACCATACTTACAGTGTACTATACAATAGAATATATCTTGGTTGCCGGGCTAGGTAGCGAAAAGGTATACAATTGATGGATCTAATTACATGAAAATTAAGAACAAACTTGGACGTTTCGAACAAAGGTCTTTCGTCTGGAAATTAGTAGCTTCCAGTCGTGCCTTCGCTCGAAATATCCACGTTAGTGTGGCGGATATGTGCATGGATGTTTCCGAAGAGGGTTAAAAGCACCAAATTGTGCACAGTAGCATCTTTTTATGAGTAGAACAACATGCAAAAGTGGGGCCATCGTGAAACCGTTTTTTTTAGAGAAATACGATGCTATTAGCATTATTTGCTATTAAATTCTACTACAACAAAAAATGTGAAATTTTGAATTCAATCGCGACAAATATAACTTGCATCACCAGAAAGCTTGTAAAAAACTACATAAAAGACTTTTAAACAGTTTTTTATTCTTCAAATGGTTATTGCTGTAAATTAGGCATATTATCTCGCTAAAAATCCCTAATTCATTATTCGATGTTTGAAAATGCGTTTTTACCAGTTTATAATTCGAAAACTATTTCAGTAATAAAAAAACTGTCTAAACGTCTTGTCTTATATGCAGTTTTTTATCAGCTTTCTGATGATGCAAGTCATATTTGTTGTAATTGAATACAAAATTTCACATTTTTTGGCTATAATAGAATTCAATAGAAGATAATCACTAATCACCCGTTTTCAGGAGTTAGCAGCAAAATAGCGATGGCCCCACTTCAAATATCTATTAAGCAAATAAAACTACATCAATTGTAAAAGTTTGATTCTTTTAACCTCAACGGGAACTACTGATCAATAATTTTACACATATCCGCCTCACTACGTTCTCAATAACAACAGAATACAATGCAAAACATTTTGACTCAAAAAACCTTGAGTAAAATTATGCACCCACAGTAATGTGTACAAGCAGTTCTGGTGATTAGCCATGAAATATTAAAAAACATTAATTTGGAAAAAAAAACATCGTTGGTATATGTATACTTAGAGTATGATCACACGCACTTAGCCAATCAGAACTCAGTATCTCAGGGGTCTATATTCCATTAGTGGCCATCTAATTCTGGGGCGTCTATATCCCACTAAACACACGTGATCATTGTCTATCCTATATACAGTACTTACTGTGTTTTGTATATAGAAGAATCAACTGCATGCAATATATGTAGCAATATTTAGATGTAGTGCAAAATTCAGGAAATAAAACTGGTGCCTTCACCAAGACATGCTGCTAAACGTTGAGTAAAAAGGGATTAATTACCTTCAAATATATAAAGCAGCGTGCAAAATGTATGCATATATTAATAATTGATTAACAATTATATGAGTAATATATAAAGTATGAGCAGCCAATGTATCTGAAATACACGGCGAGGCAAAGCCAATCGTACAAGAGTATTCAAGAAATCAAATTCACCAACTATTTTGGCGACATTTTAGCCGAGAAAGTCGAAGTTAAAATTATGTAAATCAGGACGAAATCTACATCCGATTTACAGATATTGATTAAACATGCAGTTCTTTTGAATTTTCCTCATGATTTATTAATGACTATTTTAAATTCTGTTTTAGATATCGACGAGTGTGTTGAACGGTTTAATAACCCGCCATGTACAGACTTGGCACTCTGCACAGATTTGGAAGGTTCATTCAGGTGTGGTTGCCGAGAGGGGTACACTGGAAACGGAACAATTTGCAATGGTGAGAATTCAATTTTAACTGAATTGGAAAACGTGTTGCTATTATAATGACAATAACGACTTGTGGTGTACGATATACAGGGTATCATAAAAAACACGCTATGGAAATTCAACAGGCTATCGTGCATCATAAACGTGGCTAAATAATTCAATGTTTACATAGGACGAAAGAACAGTTATTTAGCTTTTCAATGATACTCTTTTTAAATCGTAACGATGAGAAATGGCCAGATACTCGTCAAATAAAAATTGCCGGTCGAAATCACATTCTTCCACCGTTAGGAATTGCATGGAAAACGAAACATAAACAATTCCCAAGAGGGAATTAAAATTGAATGTTAAATTATCTAAAATAAGCTCAACTCGTCAATCTTCGTCTTAGTGAGACCATAAGACCGTCCATTATTGCATTAAACATGGTTCAATTAACCCCTGAACAGAAAACATTCGTAATCAAAACGTTTTACGAAACAAGTACCTTGCAGCAGACTCGCGGTGCTTTTGGATTGATTAACTTTGCATAATTAATGTATTCTCAATTCCCAACGGTGGAAGAATGTGATTTCGACCGAATTTTTTTATTTGACGAGTATGTGGCCATTTCTCATTGTTACGGTTTAAGAAATATATCATAGAAAAGCTAAATAACAGCTCTTTTGTCCTATGTAAAAATTGAATTGTTTAGTTAAGTTTGTGATGCACAACAGCCTGTTGAATTTCCATAGCGTTTTTTTTTAGACACCCTGTACAACAACAAATCCAAAAGATGACTTAATTTATAGACTAATTTATTTTCATATCAAGACCACGATACGTTTCTAATGTTGTTTACGTTTCCTTTCAATATTATCAATGAGTTTATGAATATATTTAACATTTTACTTCTTAATTCATCTTTATTAGATATTGACGAATGTGCAAGTCAGCCATGTCATATTCATGCCAACTGCATAAACGCTCCTGGAGCTCATCAATGTGTTTGTAAAGACGGCTTCGTTGGCGATGGATTGTCCTGTATCGGTAAGTCATGATCATTTCCTTAAAGCACTGGGTCTAGTATTAATAAACTACAGGATTCCTGATATAAAACTATTCATTTCTTTCGTTATAGGAGCTGGTGCGTGCCCGGATCCCAGTGTCTGTGATGTAAATGCTGTGTGCGCATACTCAAACAACCAAACGTTCTGTAGCTGCAAGGCAGGTTTCTCTGGAGATGGAAACACCTGTGTTGGTTGGTATTTTGTTCAAATACCTTGACGATCATTTCCTTTTAATTGTTCCTAAAATTAAAAATTCAGTAATGAATCCCGATGTATTATGCTGAAGTTCATATTCAACACGTCACTATTTTATACGTCCATAATATTGATCGAATATTATACAAGTCTTGAACAGTTTTCGCCAATGTCAACAATCATAGAGCATTTTAAATGTAAAATATTAGTAGATGTATATAGTACACGTAACGTATATGGCTTGTGTCGAATAAGTACATTATGTTCAATGAAAGCATATTACGAGTTATTCCCGGTTCTAAATTATTTCCACTTTCAGCATTGTTTGTAATTTCATTTTTTCGTTGACTTTCAATCTGAATAGTTGGCATGATTGGTTCAGGTCTGAGATATTTTTATCTTCACAGATGTGGACGAATGTTTAACTAAGCCTTGTCATGAATTGGCCTCCTGTATAAACACTATTGGTTCTTATGTATGTCGTTGTCCCACTGGTTTCACTGGGAGTGGGAAACAGTGCCTTGGTAATGTATTGTATTGGACCTAAATCCTTTTTAGGATGTATAGACTTGTGTACTATAGGGCATTGTATACTATAGGGCATACTATAGGGCATTGTGTACTATAGGGCATTGTGTACTATAGGGCATTGTGTACTATAGGGCATTGTGTACTATAGGGCATTGTGTACTATAGGGCATTGTGTACTATAGGGCATTGTGTATTACAAGGCATTGTGTACTATAGGGCATTGTGTACTATAAGGCATTGTGTACTATAGGGCATTGTGCACTATACAGTGCATTGTGTACTACAGGGCATTGTGTACCATAGAGCACTGTGTACTATAGGGCATTCTGTACTATAGAATTATTTTCATGAACTCTTATTCGCAATTTTTATTTGTACAAAAACTTGGTGTTGTATGTGAATGCTCCAAGCCATGCATTAAATCTGCACTCCCCCTATTCCTATCTCGAGGTTAACAACTTTTTATGCAAGCTTGCTTTTGAAAGATGTTCATACAAATGTCTTTTTCCTCTCAGATATCAATGAATGTGCTGCGTTACCTTGCCCATCTGGAAGTATTTGTACCAACAGTCCAGGATCGTATCGTTGTTCGTGTCCCGTTGGTTTCCTGTATGACTTTGGTCTTGGAAGATGTACCGGTCAGTATTTCTTTTACTTTAATTCAGCTTACGGCTGCAATGTTATCGTGAATAAACTAGTAACTATTCTTTTTATATAAGCCAAATATTTCCTTGCCTTGGCCGCCGGCAATATACTGTACATTTGCAATTGAGTTCGTTATCATTTTGAAGACCATTGAGTATTGATATTGCGTATTTTCATATTACTAGAGACAACGAGGGTGACACAATTACTATAAGGCTTTTTTAGATTATTAATCTTTTATAAACTTGGCAAACGACTAACTCGAGAAACTTCATAACTTCTTTCAGCAGCCAGGGCTGGTTTCATTAATTTAGTAATAATATGTTCTGAAATAAATTAATTGATTGCAAGACATTTACCATTATATAGTATTGCATGATGCATGTAATGCTTTTCACATTCAATACTAGATATGAATGAATGCTCCAACAATCCGTGCAGACTTGGAACGACTTGTGTGAATACTCTGGGAAGCTATCATTGTGATCCTATTGAAAGATGTCCATGTGGTGATATCAGAATTAATTCTGTCTGTGTCAGTAAGTGAGAATTTATTGATGTTGACTAATAGGATATACACAATACTGGTCCGTGCGGCTCGTTTACCTAATTTATTATTTACAAAAATAAATCCCCACAGAGTTTATCTTTTCTTTGCGAGGTCCCTGAATAACTGAATTACTATTAGATCAACTGCAGGACAAAGAACATTCCATTACAGAACTGTCACTCTCTGGAACAACATTAACCCTGACTTAAAACTTTGCAAATCTTTTCCAAGCTTTAAAATTAAACTGAAACGGGAACTGCTTCAGCAATTTCTAGATAGTGAAGAGCATTTTTTTCTTTTGTTAATCAGTAAGCGTTGTTGTCATTGTCGTTGTTATTGTCCTTGATGTTGTTGTTTTTGCTGTCGTTGTTGATGACGTTGACGTATGTTGTATGTTGCTGTTGTTAATAATGTTGCTGTCAAGAATTGATGTCGTGTTTGTGTAGAAAGTAATTGCGTAATCCCATTATATAAATTTAGGATCTAATGTATAATTATAGTAATTAATTGATATGTATGTGTATTTTTGTCACTGAAAAACCCCTTTATAGGGGAGTGTCAATAAAGTCAATAAAAGAAAGTCAATTACAAACTAAAGTGTAAACGCTATAATAACACATTTTATCAAAATTTTATGCATCCGTTCCACAATGATAACTTTCTACAAGACAGTTTACATGTGAACTGAGAAATTAAGTTAATATCCCAAAGGTGTGATGGTAAGTGCTGTAACTCGTACATATATATTTTACACAAGAAAAAAACATTTTCTTCTTACGTTTTCATTAGAACCATTCCGATATCATGTTTGTGTGGTGTTCGCTCAAGGTGCGGTGTACTCACCCGCTCTTCTTAGTAATACTTCTGATGAGTACAAATCACTCGAAGCAAATCTTACTGCTGAGGTAAGTATTTTTCCAAGGAGCGCCTTGGGTAAATATTTCAATCAGTCGATCCATCTCACCCAAAGTGCACCTAAAGTACACGAAAGACTGCATGTTTCCATTCAAAAAATTCAATCCAAATTAAAATTTTTTGTACTTCCATTTTAGCTGAATTACGTTTACTGGAATTCGGCAGTGAAAAATTACTTCATTGGAACAACGGTTTCTAGGTTCAGGTAAGGATGATATTTGATTGCACAACAGAACAATTAAGTTATTGTCAAGATGTTGCTCTGTGTGTCCACATCGGATAAGCTGAAAAGTTGGGAATCGAACCCGCGACCTTTGGTTTGCTAGTCCAATGCTCTACCAACTGAACAACAAAGGTCAAGACAGCAAACCAAACGTCGCGATTCCCACCACGATCAAGCAAACTATTCAGCTTGCCCGGAGCGGACACACTTAGAACAACAAAGGTCAAGACAGCAAACCGAACGTCGCGATTCCCACCACGATCAAGCAAACTATTCAGCTTGCCCGGAGCGGACACACTTAGAACAACAAAGGTCAAGACAGCAAACCAAACGTCGCGATTCCCACCACGATCAAGCAAACTATTCAGCTTGCCCGGTGCGGACACACTTAGAACAACATCACAGACACATATCTTTCACCTGAGTGCACAACGCCAGATACAAAAATTCAAGAACGATTTAGGTTTTCTGTGTTTGAACAAAATACATGTACATTGATTATAGGTCATTATATACCACTTGAAAAACATCCACTAACCCTAGACAAATTAAAGTGCCTATGTCATGATTTGTGTAATTTTATTATTTGTAATCATTAGAATATTTTATGAAGAAATGCAATATATCTTTAAAAGAAAATATTCCATCTTCACAGGATTATCAGGCCTCAAAGTTACCGGATATGACATCAAACCGGGAATTGCAAATTAGATTTCTTTTGATTCTAGCGTATAAAATTCCCGATTTGATGTCATATCCGGTAACTTTGAGGGCTGATAATCCTATGAAGATGGTATATTTTCTTATAAAGATATATTGCATTTCTTCATAAAATGCACCAAAGATAAAATATATTTAAAATCCCAAATCATGACATACAGTAGGCACTTTAAGCACAATCCATCCCAGTTTTAATATGGAATCAGTAATGCTTATAAGCTCCATTCCTTATACAGACAGATATGATTATATTTTTGTCATTGTTTTAGTTCCGAGGTGTACAATAGCAGAACGGTATTGAAATCCTGCTTTATTGTCTATCATTACATCAATACTACTGGACTGACTGCTGATAAATTGTCAGATGCTATTGAAGATTCATCTACACCTACTAGTAATCCCAATGAACTTCAATTTGGAAAAGAGGATAGCTTTGTGATCGTGCAAGATAGAATAACGTCTTCAGGTGCAGCAGCTTAATACAATTTCAAAACATGATTACGAATCCAAAATTCGTTTTTCTAAAATATGACTAAACGATTAACATTGCCCCTTCTAGATATCAATGAATGCGTCGCACAGACATGCAGCCCATGTCATCAACTTGCTAACTGCAGTAACCTACCTGGTACCTATAACTGCAGTTGTCACGACGGTTTCCAAGGCGATGGCGTCATTTCCTGTCAAGGTGGGTAATCCATCCGATTAGACGGCGAGCTTGTTCTGGGAAGAAAAATTAGGCAATCTTTTTTACTGTCACTTGTTTCTTTCTGTTATCTTTGTCAAACTATTTGGAACTTTTTTAATATGTTTAAGAATAGAAAACATTTAAGAAAAATATAAAATATGTTTCACGACAAACTGAGTAATTTTAAATATGAAAACCGATCTGTATTTGAGAACTAGTCCCAGCCTTTTTCCGCTTTACCAGATCTGGCACATGTGGTATTATTAACGGGAAATGGTGTTATTATGTCCGGATCAATGTATATGTGGTGCTTTTTCATTTATCATATATGACATTTAAAGTAGCTAATACATATAATTAATATATAATTATACGCAGAGCGCATTAACATTTTACATACGTAGGCGTTTGCAGGATTCAAGTCTAAAATTCCTCTAAATGTTTTTAATCGGATAACATAGTTAATAGAACATAGTGTCGAAGCATTTCCACACAATTTCTCCTCAAAATCATCAACGCTAATTCAGTTTGTATTTGATTTATTAAGATATTAACGAATGTGCAAGCAACCCATGTCCAGTTGATTCCTCGTGTGTAAACACAATTGGATCGTTTGATTGTCAGTGTAGCAGGACAGGGTTTACTTACAATGGTCAATCATGTCAAGGTATGGAATGTTTAAACAATGTTTTTTTGTATAAGCAATTGAATTGCTCGAGAGGTTTTCTACAAGTCGGCATGATGAAAACTTTAGATCTCTCTTGACAACTGTTTTGTCAATAATATAGGGAAAATGAATAATTAGATCAATGTTGAATACATTATTCTCATCAAAAATATTTAGTGTTTACACCATTCATGCATGATTTCAAAGTTTATAAACAAACAAATTTTCGTCCACTAGCCTAGAAAAAGGTTTTTCACATAAGTTGAAATACCTTGCACCAAATTACTATTTTGCTTGGCACTGTATTACCATAAAATAAATCACAATTAAGAACGCTTTCATGTAGGCCTATATTATTAACATACAAATGATTTAGTTCTAATAATCATATATAGTTATCAGAGCTATCAAAACAGAAACAATTAATTAAATATAATTAGACAAATATATTAATAATATTAATGGTATATATTTTATATTCCTTCAATTCAGATATTGATGAGTGCATCTCTGCTAACCGATGTCCGTTTGGATTTACCTGCGAGAACAATCCGGGATCACATAAATGCTTAGGTGAGTGTTGGGTTTTAGCTACTTACCTCACACATACAATCAATGAATAGCATTGCTCACCCCATTGTCTTGTTGCATGGCCTTTTTAAACTGATTTATATTCCCCAAATTTCAAACGAAATTTATTTATTCAAACATTCCTAATCCTTGCAATCCTAATTCCAATCCTAAGCGTAATCCGAGATTTTACCCTAATCCTAACATAATACTAACCTTAACCCTTATCGTAACTAGTGTTCCCTAATTTACGCTGAAACCTTATTATAGTATTTCCTAATATACCCTAAAACATATTATGTCGTCATTTCCGAACATTTATAACGAAAAAACTGCGGATTCATAAAGTGGTTAAACACTGCGATTATGGTCATTCCTATAGCGAACAGTTATTTCAAAGTAAGGTATTCGTGTAAACCCATCATCGTGTTTGAAGTGGAAAATTGTCGATACATTCGACCAAAATGAAATACTTATACGATTCTCATTTACCCATGCAAGAATGTTTCAGGAATACTTACGTTTTCTTATAGGCCGATGTATACGAGCTATTGATATGGCATTCGCGGTCGACACATCTGGCTCAATTCGTTTGCCAAATTTCAATCTAATAAAAGAATTCTTGTACCAGGTCGTTCGTGATCATGATGTTGGAGAGGACTTTGCTCACTTCGCTGTCATTCATTTTAGTACCAATGCTACAGTACTGTTTAATTTCAACAGACTCCGAAACGCAGAGCTAACAGCAACAAATGTAAACAGTTTAATTAACATGTTACCATACGATGGTGGTGAGACCAGTATTGATCTGGCATTAGTTAGGGCTCGTGACCACATCTTTACAGACGCTGGTGGTTGGAGAAGCGCACAGAACATACCTAAAGTAAGTGTGGTAAAATACTGATCCCTTATTTTGTGTGTGTGTTTTGATGTTATGTACTCAGGTGAATATAATGTTTTTGATGTTTGTGATGTTACTCTGAGTGTGTATCCAACCGGGCAAACTTGAAAAATATGCCTGGCCACGGTGGGAATCGAACCTACGACCTTAAAATAATCTCCAACATTTTCCAAATAGCTTTTGAAACATTAATCTTAAATTATTTATTACATTGTCTTGAACTATATGTAATATGAGATTACGTGATAAATAAGGGATAAGTATAATGTTTTTGATGTTACTCTGAGTGCATATCCACACCGGGCAGGCTGAAAAGTTAGCCTGACCACGGTGGGAAACGATTCCCTGTTGTAACAGTTCCGCGCGCTACTACGACATGTGATTAAGGCTATAAACCACGCTTGAAAAGTTATTCACTTAATAAGCATGCCTTATAGCGTTTGTCTTTGAAACTCTGCACTATCCTTGGATCCCTAGTTTATATACCCAGAAGAACGAAAATAAAAATTCTTTCACGTTTGATTGATGGACCTTTCGTCTTCCATGCTGCTTACGTTCAATTGAAGAGTATTTGTATCCTTATACAAATCTCATCCATCTCATTCCAAGTTGTTTAACTAAAACCTCACTGACAGTTTTTTTCTATTAATATACGGTACTACACCATACTGGAACCCATACAATACATTTATTTTACAATCGAAATTCGCACCTCTTTCTTCAGGTGCTTGTTGTCATTACTGATGGCAGGCAAACATCAGGTGGCAATCTTACCCAACTTGCTGCAAATCTGAAGAGCAAAGGAGTTGTTATAATAACTGTTGGTATTGGAAGCCAAGTAGTACGTGATGAATTAGTCCAGATCGCCCAAGGTGCTGCTGAAAATGTTATCGAAATTGATGATTTTGCTCTGCTTAAGAACAAGACAGACACTTTGATCGAACGGTCGTGCCGAGGTAAACACACTGTCACTTCATTATCCTGTTTTGCCAACCTCGTTCCCAGGGTATTTGCTCTTGGGAAGCAAAGACCCTGGTGGACGCTGGTCACGTGACCCATAGAAAATTGATAGCCTCAGAGGGGGATGGAAAGGT